AAAACAAAAATAAAGAACAACCAAAAAATCCCTTATTCCCACTCTTAGAGATACTGCTTACTGCCATTTTTGTATATTAAATTTAGCTAGAAATTGCTGGTATGTGGCCATTTTTAGGCTACATAAACACCAGTTTCGTGTGATTTAGACTAACATTTCCTCCCATCTTTTTCCCACGATGAACTTTAAATCGTTCCATTTAGATTTGTAAAAGCTTATTTTGTTTCGTGGAAAGGCAGGGACAGAGAGAACTCCTATCCCCTGCTTGACCCAAATTTCTGTAACTGCTGAGACTGGGTCTGAGCTGGAGCCAGTAGCTGGGATCTCAATCCAGGACTTGTACATGGATGACAAGGAGCTGGAGTCATCAGCTGCTGCCTCCAGGGACCTGGAATCACCACGGAGCAAGGACTTCAGGACAAGCATCCCAAGCACTGACCAAAGCCTGCCCCTGCTAAGATGTCTTACACTGCATGTGTATGTGTTTCTTCAAACCCTAGTTTTTGAAGTTTTAGTGCTCACAAATATGTATAGAGTAAACACATATATTAGAATGTCCAACATTCCTCCCTTCACCCTGCCCCCCCCCCCAAAAAATAAAAAGTGCTTGTTTACTCTTTGAAAGGCAAAGTTTCGGGCCTGGCACTGTGGCCTAGCGGCTACAGTCCTCATCTTGAACGCACCGGGATCCCATATGCGCACTGGTTCTGGTCCCGGCAGTGCCACTTCCCATCCAGCTCCCTGCTTGTGGCCTGGGAAAGCAGTAGACAGCCCAAAGCCTTGGGACCCTGCACCCGTGTGGCAGACCTGGAAGAAATTCCTGGCTCCTGGTTTCGGATTGGCACTCACTTGGGGAGTGAATCATGGGACGGAAGATCTTCCTCTCTGTCTCTTTCTCCTCTCTGTATATCTGACTTTGTAATAAAAGCAAATAATTTTTTTTAAATTAAAGTTTCAAAGAGAGAGAGAGAGTCAGAGAGATAAAGAAAAGGGGATTTTCATCTGTTGGTTCATTCCCCAAATGGCTGGGCCAGGCCAAATCCAGGAGCCAGGAATGCCAGTTGGTCTCCCACGTGGATGTTGGCCAGTGGTCCAAGGATTTAGGCCATCTTCCGCTACTTTCTCAGATACCTCAGCAGGGAGCAAGGTTGGAAATGAAGCAGCCAGGACTCTGATTAGCACTCATGTAGGATACCAGCATCATAGATGGCAGCTTGTTGTGCAGTGCCACAGCACAGGGACCAGTGTTCTTCCCTTGAGAAATGCAAAGCCATAGGTCCAACCGAAGCCCCATCTGCCCCTCCCCAGCACGCTCCATCTGAATCTGACCTTGAAGCAGCCACTCTCTAGATGTGTGTCATACATAGGTTTGTATCACTAATCCAAATACTCCACTGTCTAGCACTTTTCTACTTATATACATGGGATGTGAGTGAATGTGTCTTCTATGACCTTAATCATTTACTAAACATTCTATGTGTGTGTGTTTTTTTTTTTCAATTTGCCCCTATAGACACATGTGGCTTTTATTCACTCATTTATGATTTGGGATTTCTGAAGAGTGTGCCTACTTCAGCTCGGCCGCCCTCTTCTGTAGTAAGATTCTGTCTTCTGAGTCTGTGGCTCTCACCCAAGCCCATGAGCAGCCGGGGGTGGACGCATGTGGGAAGTCAGAGGCTGGAAAGCACCGGCTGGACTCAGGCTCATCTACTGGGCACTCACGGCAGACAGCACTGATTATAAGAGGGATCTTATGTCTGGGAGAGGCAGACATCAAGGCTGAATACTTCCTTATGACATCACCTTTTGTGGGTCAAGCCTAGGGTGTGGGGTGTCCCTCCCAGAACCACAGGGCAAAAGCATCAGGAAAGCTTCCCAAAGCTTCATTGCTGGAAGGTGGGTACAGTTAGTCCCCATCCCCTTCTCCTGGGTCATACTGAACATTACACGCAGTGTTTTTTCCATATGCCTCGTTGTGTTGCCACATCGGAACGTGGTGGGTCTTGGTGTTTGATTTCCTGGTTCTTCCTTGGCGTCAAGACTCTTGTTCTTTGGGGCCATTATTGGGAGTTACTTGCATGCACAAACAGTGCAATGCAGACTATAGGGCTGATAACTGAGTTGGCTGCTAGGGGACTTACTCTGCAGAGAGGGATGGTGCAAGTCCAGGCAGGACAGAGCAGGGCAGCTTGAGATTTCATTGGAGAAACTCAGGATGGTACACAAATTTTTATCAATGGTGCATTCCTAGAGTTCTCTATTTTACATTCTCCGACCCTGTTGACAGTAGATAACTGAAATGGTGGGAAGCAGATCTTCAGAGACAGGAGGAACTACTTCCAGCTTCCTCTCACCTTGACGCCACATTTTCAGAGGAAGTCATCCATGCAGTCTCGGGCTTCTTTGATTATACTTATCTGCAGGTCTTTGGGGGCAATTATGATTAGTATGATTAGTAAGAAATGGCATTTGCTGAGAGGTCAAATTCAGTCAAGAACCCTTCAGGGAGAGAACGGTAAGCCCAGCAGCTAAAGTGCCTGCATCCCACATAGCATCATCTTCAGCTTCTGATTCCCACCCACGCAGAACCCAGAAGGCAGTCGTGATGGTTGAATTGAGTTCACGGCTCATGACTCTGGTCCCGGCCACTGCAGCCTTCGGGGGTAAGCCAGCAGATGGGAACTCTCCCTCTTCTCTCCCTTTCCAATCAATTTTTTTTTTTTTTTAAGTTTTAATCAAAACTCCTTTAGTAGTGAAAATCTACCAGCCTTTGATGAATTAAAGTTTGCCTATAAGCTGAGCCTTACGAGATAGCAGCATGCTCTGGCTAGAGCCTCAGGGCTCTGGATTCAAGTGGAGTTGGGTTAGAATCTCGGCCCTTCTGGTTGCTACACGTTGGGCACCAAGTGTAGGGGGCGGTACCTCATCTCATTCAATTCTAATCTCTTGATCTGCAAGGGAGATACGCCTACCTTGCAAGTTGCTGAGTGTAACCTCTTGCTGTTTATCATGTGACCCCTGTAAGTAACAGCAAGTTTTATCGGTAGGCTGGGTTGGCAGGAAGCTGTCTGGTTATTAAAGGTAGTGACGCTTGCTGAGAGAGCATGAACTCGTCATAACTGGGGAACTCTGCATCTCCCTGTGATTGCTTCAACTTCATCCCAGTGCAGCATCCCATGGTGTCCAATGTGGGCATTCAAGGAAGTTAGTGGTCTCTTTTTCTCTCGTTCTCTCTCTCTCTCGCACACCTCCCCTCCCCCCACCTTCTGTGCCAAATAGGCAGAAAGACAACATTCCCAAGGAGAGCATGAACACTCCATGGAACGTCTGGTGCTTTGCCCTAAGTCTGTTCTGAGATTCTTTTGGCATCATTTTTCACAAAGTCAGAGCTAGACATCTCTCTCTCTCTCTCTCTCTCTTTTTTTTTTTTTTTTTTAAATTTCTGAAGATCTTCCATCCCCTGATTTCACTTCTCAAATGGCTGCAATGGCCAGAGCCAAGCTTATCCAAAGCAGAAACCATTGGCTACTTTCTCTTTGTGTCTCCTTCTAGCTGTAAATATGCCTTCCAATATACATAAATAAATCTCTTTTTTTAAAAGTATAAGTGGATTGCATCCATGGACATCTTCGTAAGGGTAAAGGCCAAATATCCCGTTCTCTGGCAGCAGACCCCAACTTCGATTCATGGCCGGAGTGTCACCCATTACATTAGCTAAACATTCTGCTTGGGTTCGGCAGCTGGCAGAGCTGTGTCACTGGCTCAACTTGCCTTGAAAGACAAAGGGAGAAAAGGAGCTCTGAGTTTTAAGAACACTGAATGTTGCTCCTTGGGGCATGCCACTCAGCTTCCAGGTGTACACGCCATGGCTGAGGGGTCAGGACTTGCCGCCACATAGGTGGCTGGGTTACTTTAGCTGGAGGCTAGCTACCAGTGCTTTGCTTTGAACTTGCAGCCTGCCCTCGCTCCTCTCTGATGGAGACACAAAGGACCAAACCACTCAACCTGTGAGTCCACTCCGCACTACCGAGCAGTTTGGCCATCCTATAATGGTAGTCAGCAGGGTCTCCTGGTTCAACAAGGATGGTTTTCAAAGCTGTTGGGTACAATGTAATTGTAAGTTTTTGTTTTGTTTTTAAGCGATATGACACAAGATCTGGCTTTTAAGGAGTTTATATGCTAGTCAAGGAGATGTCACTACACAAGGAAACAGAAGTATGTGTGACCTCAGATGCTTCCAGCACTGTGAAGTGCACAGTGGCACTAGAGTCCTGGCAGCTCAGGAGACAGGGGAGCAGGAAGACCGGCTGGCTGCTGGCGGCCATCTGGGGAGTCAGCCAGTGGCTGAAAGATCTCTCTTTCCGTCTCTTTCTCTGTGCAACCCTGACTTTTAAGTAAGTAAATGAGTCTTTTAAAATGAAGTAAAATTGCATCCATGCGAAACATGTACAGATTTTTTCCCTTTGTCATTAGTCCATGTGAGACTCCTGAACAGTGCTTACAGTGTACGAGGGATTGTAAATCATCTCGAGATGAGTTCATGTCTGCACATGACGGGGAGGACGTGCGTATGTTCTATGCAGACACCATGCCGTTCCAGCTAGAGGACTTGAGCACCTGTGGAGCTGCGTACCTTGAGGGGAAATCCTCGTGGACACTGTGAGATGTTCAGGTGTTCGTCCACTCGAAAACAGCAGATCAGTTTCTAGTTTAGCAAAGGGTTTAGTCATAAACAGACATTCAACAGATGGGCTCTCCTTTAGATCATTCAACCCTCTTTATCAAATATGACACAATTGATAGCCTGATAGCCTGCAATAAAAATGACCCAATAGTGTTATTCATCACATCGAACAGAGAAGAACAGCAGGACTCAGGGAGGTCAAATGTGGCATATAGTCCTAAGCTAGCAGATGTTGGTTGAATCTAATCTAATCTAATTTTCACAACCATCCATAGACAGTGTTGGAAGTTGACATTGTAGATGAGAAAATTGAGATGCAAACAATTTCCCTGGACAGATATTGCTGAGTACTTTTCTGTTTGCCAAACTTTGTGCTGTGGTGCGAAGTGTGTCCACATCTCTGCCAGATTTCATCATTATCTTCATTGTCTTTTCCTTCTGGGACTCTAAGGAATCATGAATTGGCCATTCTGTGTCACACACCTGTCCGGGATTTACCACTTTTTTATTCTGATGCTTTCTTCTGAAGATTTGCTTTTGACTTGCCTTATAGTGCATTGTTACCAACAGTTTAACTGTGTCCCACATTAAAACCAGCCATGATATTTCTAGTTTTGGGCTATTCTATTATTTTAATCTAGGAATCCTATTTGGTTCTTTTTGTTTTTTCAAATCTGGTATATTCCTTTTTATCACTTATCTGTTTCCTGACAAAATTGCTCAGCCTCATTTGTACCTCCCGGGACAGAGTGAGTGTAATTATTTCATTATTGGTTTCTGAGAACCAACCATGAGAGTGGTTCCTGTGGGTCTGTTTCCCTCGTGGCTTGTTTCTATCAACTCTTGCTCCTGGTGTTCTGCTTTGTTATTATTGGATATCACAGGTTAAAACATATGTTTTAAAATAATTGGAGGCCCAGGGTGTTGTGATGTTCTTCCAAAGACGATGTTCATTGGCATCTGTGAAACGAGGTTTTCGGGCTCCCTCTAACGACTCAAAGACACAAAGGTTCCTTAGAGCTGGCACTTCTGTGTCACCTTTTCCCCTGGGACACCCTTTCCCCTAGGGCACAGCCTTTCTGGGTCCAGGCTATAAATGGGAATGATTTACCAGGATCCCTATTCTTTTCCTGGGTTACATGCTACTTTGTTTTCCTCTCAGAGCTCCAACTCACAGCCCAAGCTCAGGCTCTCAGCTTCTTGTTACTTTTAAAAATCAATTTAAAAAGCAGTTACAAAGAGAGGGAAACACACACACGGAGAGAGAAAGAGTGAGAGCGAGAGAGGAGAGATCTCCCATCTGTTGGTTCAGCCACCAAATGGCCATCATAGCCAAGGCTTAGCCAGGACAAAGCCAGGAGCTAGGAATTCCATCTGGGTCTGTCACGTGGGAGCGGGGGCTCAAGCAGTTGGCCCATCATCTGTTGCTTTCTCAGACACGTTAGCAGTGAGCTAGACGGGAAGTGGAGCAGCCAGAAGCCAAACTAGCCCTCATGTGGGATGCCGGCATTGTTGGCCACTATGTCATGGCACTGGCCTCTCAGCTGCCTGCTTATGTTATATCAGCAAGTATCCCTGGGCATAAGTGGCCCTGTGCATTAGTTTCACTTCTCTGGGATCCTACTTTGTCCCAGACCTCATCCTGTCTGAGGCGTCTTCAGAGAGGTCATGCCAAATAATGTATTATGGTCGAACTATGCATGGATTCCAAAATTTTTGTACCAAAGCGCACTTACCTTGTAACTTAACCTTCCACACCTTTCTGAAACTCCCTCCTATTCTTCACTGTCTTATTAGTAATTTGATACTTTTCAGACAGTTTAGTATTTTAAACATCTATCTTTGGGTTATCTTTCTCTTTCAACCATCACTGCAAACAGAAACTGGAATAGTATGAACCAAGACCCAGAAATCACCAAACGTCCAAGTGCTTAGGTGATGATGTTGATAGATGTCTGAATGGATAAAAGTGAACTCCTCTCAAGCTCTTACTAAGTATTCGATTTTTAAAATTCATTTAATCCTCAAAGCGATCCCAGGAGTCAAATGCTGTCATCACTCCTGTTTTTGAGAAAACTGGAGTGTAGAGAGACTGCTAAACTAACCTAAGGTCAGAAAAGCAGCAAAGGAAGAGCTGGGCTGCAAACTTGAGACTCCAGCTCCAGAGCCTGTGCAACTGGTCACTGTTTTCAACAAAACTTCCTGTTGCAGCGTGGATTCTGGCACAAACATTGATCCTACACTGTTGGTTCTCCAAGAGTGAGTTCCACGCTACCTGCCTGATGCATTCCAGGTGTCAGGAAGGATTGCTCTGAAAATAAACCTTCAGTTCTGTCTGTTGTCACCATCCTCTTTGCCTCCATCTGATGTTTCTCTCCAAGGAAGACCATGAGAGCTTACAATATTCCTGTGGCCTCATAAATTGGGAGGCCAGGGTGGAGCAGCCAAAGGGGAAACGCTTTATGATTCCAATTTTGCAAAGGCAGGCCCCAAGCCCAAGCGCATGAGTCATCCGCTGAGATGAGACTCTAACATCCACTTCCCAACCCCTAACTCATTCCTGCAGTGGGAGACTTTACCCCACAAACAAAGCCACTTCTTAGAAATATGTAAAGTAGACTTTGGGCCTCAAGAGAGGGAGCTAGAGGTGGGAGCTGGGTGTGTGCAAGTCCAGGAGTCTCCTTAAGGATTGCATGATTCCATAAGCTGAACTCCAGGGTGTGAACAATGACCAATGCTACCATCAGATGAGCATTCGCTGCTGTGTTAAAGCACTTTGGTGTGTCATTTTATTTTCTCCACACACAACTCTTTGAAGAGTCTATATGATCCTCTCTCCCAGGCAAGAAAACTGAGCCACATGGATTTCTGGTTAGGAAGCAGCAGACCTTTGGGTTGGCGTCCAAATCAGAGATTCCCCACCTAGAGGAGTACTTCATGTTAAGAGAAAGCATGGGGGGTCAGAGGGCTTCCCTGGGTTCCAGGTTCAGAGCACGTCAAGGCCAGACAAGCTGAATCTCAGAGCAAAGGACACAGGGAAGAGGAGAAGGTTTCTCTAAAACAGCAGGAAAAGTGCAGACTGACGTGCTTGCTGACATACCAACCTGGACACACCTGACTGCGGCGGCACCACCACCCAGATGGCCGTGAATGGGACACCTGCTACTGAGTCACATTCTCTCTGCTATTGTACCTATCTTCTCTAGAGAGCTGTATAAAGATCAAGCCCCATCGCAGAGGATCCCATGGACTCCATCCTCATCTCAAGGTGAAGCTTGGAGAAGGTTTTGGCATTGGGGTTTACCTTCTAGAAAGGTCTCTATCAGGACAAGGAAGACATTGCCTCAGCTGCACCATCTGAGTGGCTTTGAGGGAACATCCCCGCCCCCAAATGTGCCTGTGGATGCCTCATGCTGGCTACAACTTCACCATTATAACTGTCCTTCTCATGTCAAAAGAGATGAAATCTTTTGCAATATGAATACTCCCAGGAAAGGCCCTCAGTGGGCCTAAATCATGTTTAGTCTCATCCTTTTCCAAAAAAAAAAAAAAAAAATTAACGGCTGATGTTGTGATAATGTGTGTTAAGCCTCCCTCTGCAATGCCCACATCCCACATGGGTGCTGGTTTGTACATTGGTTCATCCACTTTTGATCCAGCTTTTTGCTGGTAGCCTGGGAAAGGCAGCAGAGGCTGGCCTACATGGATTCTTGTGTCCATATGCCTTCCCAGATGAAGCTCCTGGCTTGCCTGGCCCTTGATCATTGCAGTCATCTGCAGAATGAACCAATAACTGGAAGATAGCTCTCTGTGTGTATTTCTTCCTTTCTCTTGATAACCCTGATTTTCATCATCATCATCATCTTCATAATGTTGGGCATCCATATAACATAGTCATCTTAGCATGTCTTTGAGGGGATAACATGACATTTTCTGATGTTCCACAAAGAGCACTACATCATGAATAAAAAGTCTTTCTATCTGAACAGTTTTTGTTCTTCAGATTTGTTTATTTGAAAGTCAGAGAGACCCCAGCGTTAGGTAACTGCCGAGATTGCATCACACTTAGGCAAGTGTTACACTACTGGGAGAACAGCCAACCACTGATAGGCATTCTGGACCTAGTTAATACCAAATTTATGTGAACTCTATCAGTGTACCAGCATGACTGCCTATTCTATTTTTTTAAAAAAGATATGTGGGAGATAGAAGCCTGCACTCCAGCAGACAAGGTCTGCTTGGGCCCTGGATAGGCAGGTAGGGCCCCAGGCTGGCATGAGGCATTGTCAGAGGACCAGGCTTAGGGATCCATGCACTAGTGGGCATGGGGGGCTGTGTATTGCTTAGGAAAACAGGTCTAGAGATGTGTGGGAGGGAGGACTGCTGAAGGAGAACGTGACGAGTGAGAAGTGCCTTCTGGGGAACTTCCACTTACAGGTAAATGAGGGAACTGAGACCAGATGGTTTAGAGGAAGGAAACCAGAAAAGCTTTTGGAAGTGAAACCAATATGCTTGCCCACGTGGAAGACCCGAGTTGGGCTGGTTGGTATCAATCACCACCTATTGGCACACACTGAAGCCATGGCGAGGGGGCTTGCCTGGAAGGGTTCAACCACAGTTCCCTATAAGTGAATCTCAGGGCAGCATGTGGACCATGTTAGATTGGCCCATGACAATAGCCATCTCACAAGATAACTGAGTCTGGAAGCAGACTCTGTAGGGGATTGTGAACTCACCTCTGTGGGACTGCCATACCAGCTGGTTTGCTCAAGGGATGTGGGTGGTGATGGTCTGAGTTAGGTATGACCATGGAACTCACCAATATTCATGGGCACTGGAGTTGGGAATTGGGTGTGGGGTGGGCTGGGCCACAACATCCACCAGCATACACAAAAGCAGACACTGTCGGGGGAGGAGGGGCAGAGTTTGCCAGGTAAGTGCCTAGAACCCACCGGCACACATGAAATCTGGGTCTGGGAGTGGGCCTGGTAGGGAAACGGGAAATTCCACAGGTAGGTCACAATTCCTGCTGGCGAACACGTGAGTCAGGGCTGGGTATTGATCAGGTTGGGCAGGGATGCTTCACTTGTTGGCAGGTATATGGGTTGGCTCTGTAGAGGGCAGAACAAGCAGGGCCACACCAAACTGTAGCACACTGGCAAGTGGAGGAATCCGCACGGAGTGCGGGCCATGCCAGGCTAGGCTAGGCTATCATACTTACTGGTTTGCATAAAATCCAGGGAGGGGGACAGGCTGGGCAGGACTAGGCTGCAGCACCCACCAGCAAGAGTTGGGATGGGATGTGGGTGGGACCTGGCGAGGCTGCAGC